GCTGGCTCTGTGACTAGTACAGCTTACGATTCGAGTCCTGTTTCTGCTCACTGCTGTTTGATTATAGGCATCACAAACTCCAGTATTCTGTTACAGTTCCATCCCTGACACCAAACTGAGAATGGTTAAGTTTATTTCCTGATGACATCTCTCAGCTGGCTTGCAATGAGAGTACCCCGAATAACCTTTCTTCTTAGCATTGTGCCTGTTCTACGGCTAACTGTGCTTTGAGTGGACAGGAAACAGAGAGTTTAATACAATAGACAATAAGAACATTTAAAACTACACACAACAATAACAAAAATCTTCCCGGGGGACTGCACGAACTGAGCTAGCTGGCTCAGGCTCCAGCTGTGACTCCGATAGACTCATATAGTGTGTGCCCCGGGACCTGAATTTGAAAGAATCCCCGCCAATTCCTGTTTGCTTCTTTCTCACCGTTATTCATGCCACTTTACATGCTGACATTGGGGAAGGCAGTGAAGTTCCCACAAAGAAATTCCTCCTGTGGACAGGTTCCAGACCCAGTCAAAGTAAATATGAGGACAGCAGAATAATAAAGGTGAAAAGGACTGTCTGTGCCATGCGTGGATTTAAGACCTTTTCTTGGAACTCATTTTGACTGGTGTCCTGGACCTGCCGCTAATTAGGACTCATGGCTCAGCGACTACAGGCACAGCCAGTTGAGTTAAATGCCCAGTGCTTGCAGAGAATCGTACCCCATCAGGAAGACAGTGAGCCATGCTGCTGCCTCCCAGACTAAAGCAAGCCCTGTCATCTGCAGACTGCCTAAATAGGTTACCATCCCTACCTATGTGCCAGAGTGTGAGGTCCACACTCTCCAATGCCAAGAACAATGTAGGGTCATGGGAGTCTGGGAAGTTGAAGGGAGTGGAAGGAGTCTTAGCAAATAAGACATGCTTCATTCACCAAAACACAGACCACTAGGGCAGGTAGACCCTGGCAGGCACCCACAAGTGGACACACGCTACATATGCAGGCCAGCACACAGGCAGCAGGTAGGCACACAAGGAGCATCACTCATTGGCTGGTAAAAGTCAGAATCACTCATTTCAGACCTTATAGCCATGTTTTTACAATAACACACAAAAGTGGTATTTTTTCCAAGAATCATTGCTTAACAGATGACACCACCATTTACCCTAAGTTCTCCGGATATACAGGTTATTCAGTTTGAATACTTGGTTCCTGGAGGGTAGAACTACTTGAGAAGGATTAGGAAATGTGGTCGTGTTACTGAAGGTGTGTCACTGGCGTAGGGGTAGAGATTTTGAGATTTCAAAAGAGTTGTGATCTCTTTTTCTGCTTCATATTCGTAAATCAAGATATAAGTTCTCAACTATTTACTCACTGTGCCATCAGAGACTCTACTATTTTGAAGTGGTAAGCTCAATTAAGCAATCATTAGTCGACTCGAGGTCCCCTGGATGTCTAGTATTAGCCATGTTGCCCCATGTCAGATATCCATATCAGTGTCATGGTATCTAAACATAAACTGATCCTTAAGGATTTTTGTTTCCTGCACAGGCTGTTGTCACAATCCAAGAAATACTCCCTTCTAACAAAAAAAAAAAAAAAAAGAAATACTCCCTATAAGCAGATGCTTAATGAAAAAATTTAAGTACTTAAGACAATTTTGTAAGCATTGGCATTTCTTCTTCTTTAAGAGAGGAGAGACTTCCTCTGGGGTAAACCTAGTTTTCTTTATCTCAAGGCTTACCTTAGCTGATCCTTCCTCTGACTTTCAATGTTACAAGTACACAAAAACCTTACTTTTAATTCTCTGTCCCTTTTGCTTTATAACTGTTCACATATTTAACCTGATACACAACTGACTCCTCTTTGAATAAGTAAAGAAGTACCTCTGACTCACAAGTAAACAATTTTCTGCTGAATCCAGCCTATCTGTCTTCCTGGTGAACATTCCAAAAGGAATCATTAACTAAAGTTAACCTTAAAAGCATGGTAGCAACCATAATATTGCCTGTCTTAGATTTCTATTGCTGTGATAAAGATCACAGTCAAAAGCAAGTTGCGGAGGAAAGGGTTTATTTATTTCAGCTTAAAGCTCTAGGTAGCAGTCCATCACTAAGGAGATCCCAGCAGGAACTCAAGTAGGGCAGGAACTGAAGCAGAAGCCATAGAAGAACGCTTGCTCTCCAGGATTTGCTTGGTTTGTACAACGCCCTGAAATCTCTTTCCCCTGCAGAGGACTGCTTCAGGGAGCAAGCAGCAACTCCTGCTGTGAGCCTGAAGTCCCACCTGACTGTAATCATAGCTACTAAAGGCTATCAACCAATGCCATGGGACCTCCCCTTCCCTCTGAAACTAGGAAGTTGGGAATCCTGCTTTGTCTTGTTGGACTGAGTCCCCCTTCAAATCCCTACTGCCCTCTCTATGGTATTAATACCTCCTCCAATAAATCTCCCGCCCTGAGGACTATGTGTCTCCATGGTTTGCTCCCCGAACTTCACCATATTCTCTAACATACTGACTGCAATATGCAATACTGATGCTGATAAGACTTTGGGACTTTTATGTTAGCTACAGAATCTAGTGGTTTTAAGGGAAGAGGTTTGAAAGCATACACAATAGACTCATTTTTTCCTGAATATATATGTATATATACCCACTCATATGTATATATATATGTGTATATACCCACATATATATATGTGTGTGTGTGTGTGTGTATTTTTTTTTTTTTTTTTTTTTTTTTTTTTTTTTTGGAGACAGGGTTTCTCTGTGTAGTTTTGGTGCCTGTCCTGGAGCTTGCTCCATAGACCAGGCTGGTCTCAAACTCACAGAGAGCCACCTGGCTCTGCCTCCCGAGTGCTGGGATTAAAAGTGTGCGCCAACACGGCCTGCCTTGAGATTCCTTTTAAAAAATATCATTCTTTTAAGGAGAACATAAAGTATATTAAGCTGTCATTTTGTAACTCCGTAAGTATTACTGGCTGAGGATCCTAAGTATTTTAAAGCCCAGTGGAAGAGAGGTGAGAAGAGTGAAGAGCCAGGGGCAGTGGCTGACGACAAGGACACAATGTCATCGGGTCAAAGCAGGCAGGGCGGCTGCACACACAAACTCAGAGCTGCTGTGGCAGCATGCACAAGACCTTGTAAGCCCAAGCCAGACCAAATCCCAGCAGGGAGGGGGAAGTAGGGTCCACAATTCCACTGTGTACCCATGGAGCTGTTGGCAATCACTGGCTGCTGCAGAGAGGGAAAGGTAGTTTCATCTGAGAGTGTAGCCCCTGGTAAGTTGATTATACTCCAGTGGAAGACTGCACATCTAGAAATGTATGGGTAGCATAGCTTGGTGTTGCAGTATTTAAAAAAAATGGAACAGAAAATTGGGTGGTTAGGAAAAAGGGGTTGACTCCTGCAGCAAGAGGGATGAATATGATCTAAACATGTATGAAACTCCCAAGGAACTAATCATAATAACTATAATAATAATAATAATAATAATAATAATAATAATAATAAAAAAACATCTTACAAACATTTCTCTGATGACATAGGTGGTATGTTATTTCAGAGATTAAATCTTTAGAAGAATAATGAAATTTTGTCTTAAATTGTGAACTGATAATTTTAATACAGCTTGATATTCATTTATTTAAACATAAAACACACTATTCAGTATCCAAAATTCTTAACCTGAGAAAAGTGCACTACCATATAATTTATAACTAGAAGAATGGAGCTTTATTTCAAAGACAATAAAGTTGAAAGCTGACTAAGTATGTCATGGTAAAGGTCACTGTAGGCTATTTTGAATAATTCTCATGTTTTTTTTTTATTTTGTGTAACTTCATGATTCTGTAAAAGCAGGAATTATGCCATATTTTTGTTTACTCCCATAAAAAATTAAAGCGGAAGTTGTAGGTGAACTAGAAACATCTGGATATACTAGATTTTTGAGTGGTACAATGAATCCATATTTGTTTTCATCATTTATTTCTGTCAGTTATATGCAACATACAGCCCATGCTCCTGGGAACCAAGAGGTCACAGCTCTACAACATTAATTTGCTACCTTCATGCTCACAGAGACAGAGTTCAATATGTGTATCTGCCTAGGATGCTTGGAAGATTACTGATTGTATATGACAGATTTAGCCAGCCTTCTCTTCTCTATGGAGAAGTCAGATACTTGAGGGACATGAATCCTTTGGGACAGGATGAGTTCATCTTTCAGAATGGCAGTTTGCTTTGGCCTAGCTTCTTTCTCTTCATGAATGGCAATTGTGTTTGTTTTTCCTGATTCTTCATGCTGTGGGGTGCTGAGCCTCTCTGTCCCACCCGCACAAAATGCCCTCCAAGCACTGCACTGTATTTATGGCAATATGGAGGTTACCCTTCATGCTCTTTCCACTGCATAGGTATTCAGACCCCTTTTCCTGGTCCTGAGGAGATGGCAAGCCCTAGAGAGAGTGTCATATTGTCTGTAGGAGAGGCTGGTAAAAGGACTATAATAGGAGAGTAACTCACCCTACTATCTCCACACTGTTCCTAGAGATGCTCAAATCCCTGTTTCAAGGTTATTCCATCTTTCTTACATTTGAATACTTTTCCCTTTTCTAAGATGGGAAAGTTTTGCACCATTTCCTCAACTTAAACTCTGCTTTCCATAATGTAATGTTCTATTTACATTCTTTTCTGTCTTTGCCTTTTTCGTATGTGACCAAGAAGGATACTTCTCAATAATATCACCTTGTGTATTATTGCTAAAATGGAAGAGAACATGCAATGCCCTTCAACTATGCCATGGGCTATAAATATTTCATTTCCATGGTGTTTGTCCTACAAAAATAACAATGCCTTTAGCAATCACAAACCTCTTAGAGATATGACAGAAAGTTGCTAAAGTATTTGAAAGTAAATTATTCCAAGATCATGAAAAATTAACTGTATATCCCTGGGCACCTCCAAGTATCCATAGAACTAGTTAGGTTCTAGGTTCTGAATGGAATGCTAATTGTTGTAGCTACTAAGACCTGCCCATCCTGGACTCTTCCTAATAGCAACTTGAAAGGACTGGAATGTGAGCCAGAAGAAGGTCCAATCTTCTTTGCACTGATGTCTAAGGTAGCCATTTCATATGTATCTGTCAGAGACTTTGAAATATTGACAATCATAACTGACTATAGCTACATTTATGCCTAGGATCTCATTCAAACCAGCCTGTAAAACTCCCATCAGCTGTACTGGGGTTTTGCTGTTGTTGTTTAGGGCCATTATAACAAGACCACATCTGGATGGGTTATAACAATAGAAAATGACTTCTCACAGTCTGGAGACTTGGGACCCAAGATTAGGGGACTGAGATTTTATGTCCAATAAGACCCTGCTCCCTCATAATCTAACTTCTCCTGGATCCTCATATAGCTTAAGGGGAAAGCTTTCTCAGATGTCTATTTTATAAAACCACTAATCCTATGCATGAGGATTCTTTCTTCAGTACTTAATCATTTCTTCATAAATCCATCACTTTATGAGTTTTGTTTCTTGCTATTTGGCAGACATATATGCAGGCTATTGAACTAAGAAACGTGCTCAGACAAAAGAATTCAAATTCTGTTGAGGCTTCATTGATGCTGGTGTGATATGGGTGATAACTTGATGGTTGTTTTTGGAGACATTGCCTAAGATTTTGAGTTCTTAAGCCTCTACATTGGAATTTAGTCTCTTAATTTGGAGTCAGGCGTTTATGCTTCTGTCTAGAATAAAAAGAATTAAATGCCCTAGCTGGATTATAACAAATGCCTCCAGAATCATTTTACTTCTGACATGTAAATAATATGTATGTAACTCAGATGACCCTGAAGGGGCTTGTATGCTTTCTCTATCTTTCTGTACTATTCACACTCATGCAAAGATCTAAGTCAAATGTTCCTGTTTTCACCTTCTTCCTCTGGACATGTAGGTTCATTTCATAGCTGTTCCACATATAAATCTAATGAAATCTTAGGATCAGGTTTCAATCTTCAAAAATAGGGTAATGATTGACCTACACATGAATAAGAAGTTCAGAGAAAAGATACATAGCAAGTGTGCGATTATATACCCAGAACCTAAGCCCGAGGCCCAATTCTCGGGGTTCCAACCTATAAATTCTAGGCATTGGTCCCAAAGAAAGCAAACAAAAGTAATGATGAAGAATCAAGAAGGGACTTTATGTAAAATGTACACTTTGGAAAGGAAAATTAAACATCTGAGTGCATCTTTCCTATAGTTATGAGCTTTAGCATTAAAGAGAATTAGGTAGGAAGTAAGAAGAGTACATAATTAAGCAGTGTTGATCAAACTGTGGTGTGGTGATGATTATTTCAGGTTTGGTTCCGAAAAATGGTCCTAATGAAGTATTTTAATGGGGCAAGCTGGCTCCCAGGTGATTGTCACTCCTACTGGGCCTAGGAGGAGGCCTGTCATCATGGGGGGATCTCAGGGCTCTAATGTTCCTAGAATCCAAGGAGGTTGTAGGTTTAGAACAATGACAGGATGCTTTCAGGGTGCATCTCTACAATCTAGAGCTAGATAATACTAAACCCAAAAATGAAGTACCTGAGATAGTAGTATCTCTCTACCGTAAGTCTTGAAGGAAGATGGAATAGGTTAGAGTTCATAAGTGTTGAAAATTAGCATATTTTTCTACAGAACTCCACAAGTTTACCCAAAAGTAAAGATACGGATGAAATTAGAAATGCCAGGGTTTGTTATGCTTATCTCTACACTGTAGCATAAGTGAGAAGTGAATGATTATTGGTGAAATTATTAAGGCTACTCCACGTAGTTAAAAGGGAGGTTTATTAGTGGCATAACTTACAAATGAAGGGATAGGTAGGTTGCAGGGTCTGAGGAAGGTGCGTTGCAGTCCGGTGGTGTTCTCTGGAGAACTCTGCTCAGTCTACCTCCACCGTCCAGGGTCCATGAGCAGAGAGAGTGGGGCACATCTGGATCTCGGGTTTTCAGGGCCCTCTCTTCGCCCTGCCTTGTAGGCGTGACAGTTACCAAAGCCTCAATGGGGGTTGGAACTTCCAGATCAAAGCTGGAATGGCTACCCACTACAAATGATTTTTCAGGAACAGCAGTTCCCAGAAGTCTATTAATAATCTCATGGGATAAAGTCAGAATTTTCTTCAAAATTAAGAAAACTGTATCTCTGGCTGAGAGATAATGTAAATTCCACATTCTTTCCAACAACTCAGAAAAATATTTTAATTGAAAAAATTATGTGATTAACGCTGTTCTTTAAGTAATGAATAGATCTTTCAAGAAATCAAGAAATAAATAGTTCTTGAATTAAATATAAAAGAATAGACAATATCTATGAGATGCAAGGAAGGAAGTCCTAACAGGAATATGGTGGTTTGAGTGAGAATGGCCTGCATGGGCTCATATTTGAATACTTGGTCCCAAGTTAATGGAACTGTTTGGGAAGGATTATGAGGTGTGGCCTTGTTGGAGGAGCTGTGTCACTGGGGTGGGCTTAGGTGTTTAAAAAGGCCATGCTATCCCTAGTTATCTCTTGTGCTTATGGATCAGATCCAAGTTCCAGCTACTGTTCTACAACGTGCTCCTCTGCCATGATGATCATGGACTCACCTTCTGAAACTATAAGCACCCAATAAGCTCTTTCTCTTTTAAGTTGCTTCAAGTTACAGTGTTTTGTTATGGTAATAGAAAGGTAACTAAGATAAGCACTAAATGCCAACATTACATTCTCAGAGAGATCTTATATAAATAATTTATTGATGCTTGTTAACAAGCACTGGAAGAAACACCATCAAACAAATACAACTGTAGCAGACAGGGAAAAAAAAAAAGATCAGGGCAGAAATCAGGTTATATAATCACAGTTGAAGATTTGGAGCTAGGAACTACTAATGATTCTGGGTTGCCCCATTCAATATATTTTCTAGTTATATCCATTACCTGCAAATTTTGTTTTTCTTTATAGTTGAATAGTAATCCATGATTTATATGTGACACATTGTTGCTGTCTCTTCACTGGCTGAAGGGTATTTATGTTATTTACATTTCCTTGATAATGCGAATAGCATGTCAATGGTCATCATTGAACAAGTATCTGTGGAGTAGGATGTTTCATCCTTTGGGCACACACTGTGGAATAGTTTTGTTAGTTTGTGTGGTAGTTTAATTTTAGCTTTTTTTTTTTTTTTTTTTTTTTTTTTTTTTTTTTTTTTTTGAGAATTCTCCCCTGGTTTCCAGACTGATTTCCAGACTGAATATAACAATTTACAACCTAAAAATAGTGAATAAAGATTTCCCTTTTCCCCACATCCTTTTCTGCATTGTTCTGTTATCTTAGCCATTCTAATTGATATACCATGAAATCTCAAAGTTGTTTTCCTTTTCCTTTCCCTGATTGCTAAGGACAATATATATTTTTTGAAATATTTCTTAGTCATTTTATTTCTTGTTTTGAAAACTCTTTGTTCAAATTCATAGCCATGTTTTAATTAGGCCATTTGTTTTCTTGACTTTTTTAAAAGTTCTTTACATAATGTGGACATTAATCCATTGTCAGATGCAGAGCTGACAAAGATTCTCCCCAACTCTGTGACTCTTCATTTGATTGCTTTCATAGTTGTGTAGAAGCTTTTTATTTTTTTTAATGCGGTCTCATTTGTTATTTGTTGGTCTTTAATCTTGGGCAAATGCAGTCATATTCAGAATGTCTTTTTCTAACCTGTATATTTCAGGGCAATGTCTAGGTTTTACTCTTGAAGTTTCAGTGTTTTGGGTTTCACAGTGAGGTCTTTGATCAATTCGAAATTAATTTTTGTGCAGAGTGATAGATATGCCTCCATTTTATTCTACATGTGGATATCCAGTATTCCCAGCAAGTATCTGTGTTTGTTGAAGATGCTTTCTTCTCCAGTATATTATTCTGGAATCCTTGTCAGAAATCATGCAGCATTACTTAGGTGTATTACTTTACTATTATTCTACTGTTTGGGGTTCCAATTTTGTTTCATTGATCTTTATTTCTGCTTTTGAGCACATATTGTACTGTTTTATTTCTATAGTACTGTAATATATCTTGAGATTTGGAGTGGTAATTCCTCCAACAATAATGTTCTCTTTCCTCAGATTTGCTTTGACTAATGGGAATGTTTTGTGGTTCTAAATGAGTTTTGGGACTTTTTTCTATTTTCTATTTCTGTGTACAATGTTGGAATTTTGAGTGGGATTGCATTGCATCTGTAATTGTTATTTTTCTTTTACAGCATTAATTCATGAGATTTTCCGTTTTCTATTGCTGATCTGTCTCATTCCTCAGAGATGTGACATGTTTATTGTAGGTTTGACACTTTCACTTTCACCTCTTTCGTTAGACTTATTCCTAGCTATTTTAGGCTATTGTCAATAGGAAAGCATCCATGAATTCTCTTAGCTTACTTGCGTTGGCTGTATGTAAAGGCTACTGCTTTTGAGACTCTGCCAATACTGAAACTGTTGACCACTTCTAGACGTTTTCTGATGGAATTTATTTGGCTCTCTCATGTGTAATAGCATATCATCTGTAAGTAGGACTAATTTGATTTCTTCCTTCTCCTATTTGTATTCCTTTACTTTCCTTTTCTTGACTTATTACTCCAGTGAGTGCCTTGATCACTATTCTGGAAAAGAGTAGGAATAGTGGACAGCCCTGTCATGCTCCTGATTTTAATAGAATTGCTTCAAGTTTCTCTCCATTTAGAATGGTGTTGGCTGAGAGTTTTTCATATGTAGCCATCATTATGTTGAGGTATGTTCCCTTTTGTCCTGCTTTCTCTAGGATTTTCATCATGAAGACATGTTGGATTTTGCTATTTTTGCATCTCTTGTGATAATCATGAGATTTTTGTTCATAAATGCATTTGTATGATTTATTACAATGTTTATTTACATATGTTTAGCATCCCTACATCTCTGGGATAAGCTAACCTGATTATGGTGAATGTTCATTTTGGTATATATCTATACTCACTTCCCAAATATTTTGTTGTGGATTGATTGTTACAGGGTCTATGTTAATCAGAGATATTGGCCTATAGGGGGTTTTTGTTTTTTTCTTTACT